CACAGATGCTGGCGAAACGTTAGGAAACAAAACTTCCAGAACATGGCCACACAGCCCAGAAGACCCACACCAGCCTACATAGATAAATCTTCTTTAAAAATCTCACACTTAACTACTCTTCACCTCTCATTTTTATGACCAGTTTCCACCCAAGCTTCCCTTTTTAGCACTTTCTGGTTCTCTGCTTTGAGCAGCTCCAAGCAGCAGCCTCAGGCTCTCAGTGGTAAGAACAAGGGATTGAGAAGAGCTCCAAAGGATCTTTGCACATTAGGGGAGTGGGCATCAAAATGGCAGATGTCATTCAATGTGAGCAAATGTAAAGTGGGAGAGATTGGTGCCAAAAATCCTAACTACTCATAGAAACTAATGGTATCAGAGCTAGCAGTGACTGATGAAGAAAGCAATTTTGGAATAATGATAAACAGTTCAGTGAAAGTGTTGATACAGTGTGCATTCATGTAAAAACAAAAAGCCAACAGCATGTTAGGGATAATGAGAAATGGTACTGAAAGTAGAAGTGCCAATATCATAATGCCTTTACATAAATCAATGATGCAACTGCATCTGGAATATTGCATGCAGTCCCGATTGTTGCACTGCAAAACAATATAGTGGAGCTAGAGAAAGTTCAGAGGACAGCAACTAAGATGATTACGGGATGGAACAGCTTCCCTATGAGGAAAGGTTGTGACATTTGGGGCTTTTTAGTCTAGAAAGGAGGCAAATGAGAGGGGACATGATTGAGGTGTACAAAATTATGCATGGTGTGGATAAAGTGGACAAGAAGAAGCTATTTTCCCCTTTCCAAAATACTAGAACCAGAGGTCACCCAATGAAATTGAATACTGGAAGAATCAGGAAAGACGAAAGGGCTTTTTCCCCCCAACACATAATTGACATAATCAGCTGAACCCTGGTAAGACAGAGTGGCTGTGGATTGGAGGCCCCTCAGATACAGGGCACATGTAACAACTTTGCTCCATTCGGTTCCAGTTTGTTTCCGGGTCCAATTCAAGGTGTTGGCTATCATCTTTAAAGCCCTACATGGCATGGGTCCAGGTTACTTGAGGGTCCATCTCACCCCCATTACATTGACCCATCCCACTCGGTCTGGTAGAGAAGGCATGTTGTGGATCCCATCAGTGAGAGAATGTCGACTGGCAGGCTCTAGGAGGAGAGCCTTCTCTGCCGTTGCCCCCGCCCTATGGAATATTCTCTCTGCAGAGATGAGGCGGACCCCTTCCTTCCCAATTTTTCAGAGGGAATTGAAGACTTGGCTCTGCCAACTTGCCTGGGGCGAGGAAAGATACAATCGATCCTGGGGATGGATGGCAACTTGACGATGCACCCTGAGTTTATTAACACCTAATTAACATCTGCGTCTTGGAAATATTACAAAGGAAGTGTGTTTTTAACATATTTTAATTAATATTTATCTATTTTAATCAATATTTATTCTATTTTTACTGTAAACCATCCAGAGTCACCCCACAGTTAGATAGGCAGTGACCAATTTGAAATATAAATAAATATAAATAAAAAAATAGTTAAACTTTGGAATTTGCTTTCACAAGATGTAGAGCTGGCTACCAGCTTGGCTGGCTTCCAAAAAGGGTTGGACCAATTCACGGAAGTGATGGGGATCAGTGGCTATTAGCCTTGATGACTGCCTCTGAAGGCTATCTGCTGAGAGACTAGTGGGCTTCCTTGTGCAATTGGGTTGGCCACTATGAAAAAAACCTCTAGACACATCCAGCAGGGCACTGCTTATGTTCTTATTCATTTAAACCCCGACCTACCTTATCAGATGACAGCAGATAAATAGGAGTTAATGAAGGAATAGTACTTAATTCACAGCTCAACCCCAGTAGCTTCAGGATTTCAACAAGTACATCATATCTTCTAGCATTGCTTATTTTGAGCATATTGAAATCATCCTTAGATCGACATAAACTTTTGACATTCACTTCCAAATGTGCCTATAAAGACAAGGCAGAAAAATTATCCTTAATATTGATTGAAAACACCCTTTTAGAACAAGGATCAATAGTCATCTATAGGGTCAAACAACTGTGTAACATAATCATACATTTTTCTTGTTTTGATTAATTTATTGTGTCACTTCAGTTATTAAATAATCAAATATTAAATTTACTGTATACTGGTGAAAAATGCACCACCCACAGATAAGCTGACTCTTATTTTTCATGGTATTTTGGTTAAAAATCTGAGGATAAACTTATCCATGGATGGACTTATACGCGAATATATACAGGATATACAGGTACTTTAAAAAAGTATTAACATATATACTTGTGGATAAACCTAACCCAATTTTGTGGGTGCATCCATGAGTATATGCAGTAACTAAATAAAACTATTAATCAAACATTAATTATTAATAAAATTGTATCTAAATATTGCGGAAATACAGAAGGCAACAACAGTAATCGTAAGAGAAGGAATACTATCACTGTCAGTTTTCTGTTAAAATTATTAACACTGTTTTCTCAAATTGACTAGAATTCATTTAAAACATTACAGGTGGTCCTAATTATTCATGGGGTTCTGTTTCAATATAAAACAAGGAAGAACAAAATTGCAAATAATGAGAACTTGAGTCTATAAGAATTGTGGGATTAGGTTCCAGAGCCTATGGCATCCTCTTCCTCCCAGAGTAGTCATTTGCATTTGCTCCTCTTTGTCCTCCCAGATGACCTTAAACAAAGTAGGTTACAAAAGCACAAAAGTCTATCTACCATTCGTGCATTGGTAAAGTAACAAAAAACAAGGCTCAGACTGCAGATACATGAAAACCTTTTAGTGTAAACTGAGGTCTGGTCTTTATCAATCATGTCACATGAGACTGGGGATAGTGAAGGCCACCTGTATATAAAGTTCACTTAACCTTAATTATGGTATTGAAATACCATTGTCTTTTTATCAGCTGAAAGAAACTTCAGCATAAATTCCTACTACAAAAGAAGAATAAATGGCAATCATGCAGTACAGCAGACTCCCACTTACCTTAACATTACTTAAAAATTCCCAAGAACTATATATACAGTAAGGCTTTTCGACCTCTCCTTTCTCATTAAAATCCATTTCAACTCCCAACTGCCACCATGAGTTTAAGGGATCCTTCAGAATAACAACATGCAAGGTGTACAAAGACCCAAAGCCAGACAGGATGGGACCAATGACATATTCCTAATTTCTTCTGAAATAGTTGAAGTGCTTTCTGTTTATACAAAAGGTACTTTGAATCCAAACTGTCACTCACCAGTTTTCTACTATATTTAACAAATAGGCTTGCATAGGCTGCTACCCAAAGTTGTGCATCTTTCATAAAAATTGATTTGTCTATCATTTACCACTGTTCTGAAAATAGCACTATTTAAGAAAATATTTGAAAAATATCAAACAAAATAGAACCTGTTTATAATGTACCTGAGACAGAATTGCTTCTCCTCCATTATTTCCATATGATAGATGAACAACCATCGTATCTTTATCTGGATTGTCAAAATAACCAAGTGGCTTCACAGGGTTGAGCTCTTCTGAAACGTCCACCTCAAAACATTTTCCACTAGCTAGAACATTTAATTTAATTTCATTGTTCTTATCTTTTGAAAATACTAAGGTTTGTATTGTGTCCATTATTTCATTCTTGCTCTTTATTTGTACACCACCAAATGTGAAAGAGGTAGAAAGTCCCAAAATCTTCCCACCTTTTGACATAAAAGCTAGAAACTGTTTGGACACAGCTTCTGAAATGGGTTCTGATACAGCAATAATCAGAAGCATTGCATTGTCAACCCAAGGAACAGTCAGAACTTGTTTCTCTAACAACTGGTAGATGGTGTAAGCATTAATATCAACACAATCCATTATGACTGATTTTATTTCTTCAAATTTAACTTTTTTAGAATCAGAACCAAGATAAATTAAAATATTAGGAGGCTTCCCAGTCAAGTTTACTCTTTGCATATTTCCTGTTATACAATCACCACTAACTTCTTCTACACTGCCACTATAATCATCAGGAAGATCTGGGATATTTTCCGCAGAGGCAAATTTAACTGACTCAATTGTACTGTTCTCCAGTTCCAAGCATTCATGGCAGCTGGAAAGATGTAAGTGATGATGTTCTGAAGTATCTCCTTCCTTTTCAGATAATTGCTCAAGTTCTTCATGATGTTCATTTATTTTCTGCATTCTGCATTTCTCTTGGTGCATTTCTTGATCACCACTTCCTGCACAATCAGCAGCTTCCACCTGAGATTTATCAGTATTTTCAAAAAGTGAGTCTTGTGACAGTTCACCAGTCTGTATCTGACCAGCTTTCTCCTCCTCTTTGGTACTTGGAGCCAATTTTAATTCTTCCAGGGCTGATTTCTTCAGGTCCACAGCTAATACATGTTAAACAAAATACATAAAAATAGCAGTGCTAAATAATTCTGCCTTTAATATAAACTTAAACTGATAACCCAATCCTAAAACACATTGTGCAGACTTGAGTGCATTTTACTTCCAGCATGTTTGTAATGCAACGTAATGTTACATTTCTGCAAGTATGTAATTTAGTTAACCTTCCTCTCCCTTGAATAATGAATTATGCAAAGATAAGGATGTACTATATTCATCAATTTATGAATGGGACATACTGAAACTCTGAATCATATTGTTCAGGGTCAGTGTTCCTAGAAAAAAATCCTCTTAACTGGAAGTGGTTCAAGGTAGACTAGGAGTAGTCTGGTCCCAAAAGAGGACTGTTCCATTCAGAATGCCATGTTTCTATCTATAGAATAGAATCAATATCTATACCTCCTGGTTTGGAAGATTTATTTCTGGAACCACTGAACTGCTCCCAGAACAAGATGATTCATAAGGATGTTTAGCATGGTCCTAAGAGAAAAGGAATGTCTGGCGTTCTATAGAATTTTCTGTTCCTGGTAAATTTGACTAATCTCTAGGCACAGATAAAATGTTTCATGAAATTATGCTACTGATGGCTAGACATATAGACTGGAGTTATATACTGCTTTCTATCCCATAATAATGTTTAACTGACTGCTTTATATCTTGTCTTTCCTCTGGGAGCTCAAGATGTATTTAGTACCTCCTCCTCCAATTTTTTTCCACAACAATCCTATGAGATAGGTTGGCTGAGGGAAAGTGATTGGCTATATCTGCTTCTAAAAAAAATTCAAATTCTAAACTTAGAATTCAGTGAAAAGTTAATCCCTGTTATTTCAGTGGTACTTTTCCCAGGATTCAAGGTGAGAATAATGTATTAGTTATAGGGAAGTTCCACTGAAGCTGATATCATATACTCCTGAGCAGTAATGGTCAAGGCTGGGCCTTAAATGCATAACCACATACATGCGATAAATATTAGTCATAATGATTTATAATTCAGTGTTACACAAATGGCCTTTTTCTCCTTCTTTCCATGCCTATTCCAAATTTGCTGGGGGAGAGGGGGGGAAAGAGAAAAAACTGAGGAAAGAAACCATCCAGTGGACTTCTAATTGACAAGCATCAAAGCAGGATGAATTTGCACAGAATGCTGAAGCTCTGAATTTGAGAATAGTTTCCATTAAAACAAATACTTTGGTTGGGTAAAACCAAAATGGGTGATACTTACAGACAATTTTTTGAGGTACCATCCCGTTATCCATTTGGAGTCTGTCTTCCAAGAATGCTATCCCAAGGCTACTAAAATTATCTATGCTGGCTTCAGCAAATAATATGTAGGGCTTCCCAGTTTTAAAGGCCAAAGGAGAACAAAAATCTGAACACTTCACAATCTGAAGAAAGATATACAGTATATTTTCACATTGATGGGTATACAGTTAGAATACTGAAAGGCACTGCAAAATTAAACTGACATTCCTACTATTAACAGTGTACAGTTGTAATTTCTAAATTCAGTTAAAAGAGTTTAAATGCATCTACCAAGCCATCTTCCAAGTTATACTCATAGTTAATGGAAAACTAATGGGAAGAATAATAAATTCCAATTAATATTGATCATGATAAATGAGAAAATAGAGAAGAAAGAAAGAAATACAGGATCAGGAGTTAACAGACCTATACAGTTCCTATGGAAGCTCAACTCAATTTACCTAAGAGCTATGTAAAAAAACATTATCAAGCTCTTATGAGGGTTCCTAGATATTTCCGTGGAGCAAGAACTGGGAAATAGCTATAATTTGGACACAATATCTTCCCCATTAAGAATTGGCTTTTAAAAACAAAAATCAGTACTTCAAATTACTTTAAAGACTTATTAGCAAAAATATCTTAAAGAAAACTCACCTTTTTTGCTGAGCAAGTTACAGCTTGTGAACTACTTGCTTGAATGAAAATACCTTCAGTTACAAATGTAATATGTTCAGCTTCAAATACTTGTTCCAAATAACTAAAAGGTGATACAATAAGTAATGTCCATTTGTTTAAATCATCAAGGGACTGAAAAGAAAAAAAAAGATCTTGCAAAAAATGTTAGCTTAAATCAGCTATATAATTTTAGAAAAATGCAACAAGCGCCATATATACTTTTTGAACTCTGGAATCTGTCCAACTCTTGATGTATCTATTCATGAAGACATCTTTTATAGCAATTTAAATGCTGACCTTAAGAAAGATAAGTCTATTTTAATTCTAATTTTAATCAAGAATAAAGACACAGACACAGAAAAAATATTAGAGCCACATCCATTCTGAATGGTCAGTATTTAAATATACCAAATAGAAGTCTCCAGCTTTGCCATTACCAAATAAGTGAGAAATAGTTTAATATTAATAGTACTGCCTATTAATATTAATAGACAAATTTGAAATATTAAGATTTTGCTACTTTTTAAAATAATTAAAAAAATAAAATACACGAAGTACCTTCATGGGAACATAAATTGTTAAGTCTTTTAGGGAAGAGATGACCGGTTGACTTCTCAAAACAAGGAAATAAAGGAAATTTGAGACAGAACATGTGATCATAGAAATATGAAACACTAGAGGGAGACAAAGACTCCAGGCAGGAAAAAAAAAATAAAAGAGAAAGAGAAAAGCCTGTCTTTTACTTTTGCACTTGATGAACAGCAGTGAAACTTACAGAAATGACACTGTAAGTGTATCACACTCAAGACATTTCAAAAGATTTTTGAAGAAACGGAAAAGCTTGCAGCTACAATGATAGTAACAATATCCACTCACACAAATGCATTATTCGAAAGAGATCTTAAAGCAGAAATGAAAGATGTGAAGGAGCATAATTTGGAAGAATTTACAGGAGTACAGAATGAAAAAGACAAATTTTAGCTTATGTAGAACTATGGGAAAATAAAACAAATTGTGGACTATAAGAAAGAGATGAAAACTAGAGAGGAAATATTAAGCCAATAGATGGAAAATGACCTGGATAATAACATTACTGGATTTACAAAAGAAAGCTGTCAAAGTTTTGGAAAAAATTTTTGAAATGGGAGAAAGAAGATTTGGACAGATCAATTCCTATGACAGCATCCTAATGTTAAATTAAGGATTAAAAATGTTGGAATATTGAGCAAAAGAAAAGAATATAGATTTGCTTGATCAGGGTTAAAATAAGAAATATTTCTATAAAATTCTGGAAATCCTTTATGGGCTTTTTGCTGACATTGGACAGAAATGTTAATGAACTTTGGATTTGTGGATGGATAAGAGTTGGAATATGGGAAGAAGTGATTCATGTAATGTAATCTTAAAGTGGGTGGAGATATTAAGTTTGCTTATATCTGCTGTAAAGAAGATCAGAAGTAACTTCTTTATTCTTTCTTTTTTCTTTTTTTTTCTTTCTGCACTTTTTATTTTTTTCTGTATTCCTTTTCTTTTAGATTTTAGTTTGTATAATTTATTATTCTTAAAATCTTTAATAAAAAATATTACAATTGAATGAGAACCAGCATGTGTAGTAGGTAAGATGCTGACTAATGAATGGGAAGATCCAGGTTCTAGTCCTCCATTAACATGAATGCCAGCTGACTGATCTTGGGCCAGTCACTCCCTTTCAGCCCTAATCAGTGTCAGGTTCTGAGACAAGTTGGCTGATAAAGAAAAAAACCTTGTTACACTATGCATCGATAGCTTTGCTTTAAGAATTAGGTGAGTGCAATGATCTTGCAAGCATGTGAGACAACACTAAGAAGATAATATAACCAAAGGCAGAAAAAAATTACATGAGCAGGAGGGGGAAAAAATATTTAAACTAGGAACAGGAATTTCTGATCCTGTAGATTTTGATTTAACCTTTTTCTCAATCCACACATTTAAAGATGTAACCTTAATATATTCCTGAATTCTTCAAATCCATATCTGCTTTTACAGATATCAAAGTTTTATTCACTTGGTTATAACTCTCAAAACTTACATAATTTAATCAGACAAACAGTACTTTGGTTTTAAATATGTATAGTTTAATGCTTGGCTTTTAGCTATATTATAATTGATATAGTCAATCACAACATTTTATTGTTTTATTGGGCTACTTTTCACAATGACTTCTGCCACCACTGTTACTATAAGTCTTCTATATTACACCTAAGCAGCAGGAATAATATTGGCCAATTTTTGAATTTATTTTGTATATAGTTCAACAAAAATAGAAGGCATAACAGGAAATGGACTGTAACATTTGAAAACTTTATGTCACCTGTGTAACCTACTTTAATTTACCACTGATAAAGCTGCAGTTTCTGTCAAACATATGAGATTTTCTGGGTTTATATTACATTTTGGGGGAAAGTATAGATATAGACCAAGTTGTAATTCAGTGCATGAATCTTCAGGAGTGACCAGTATGTTTATAATTGTGCTTAATAACATTCCAATTTGTTACATATTTCAAATGCATACCTGTACATATGTTTAGTTATATAATGTTGTTCTCGGGAAATCAGTATAATTATTACTTACAAGTTTCTAAGATAAGCCAGGCCAGCACTATCCCATCTTATGGGCAGGGTAGAGATATGACATAATTGTAGTCTTGCTGAATTCTTTTGTTTGTTATGTATTATTTATGGATGTTCAAGATGCAAAGTGTTTCCCCATGATAAGGAAAATTTGTTTGGAAAACTAGCTCAGTGTTCTGTTCAACATCTACTGTAATCTTCTCAAATGAATTGTACTTCTCTTTCCATATCCCCCAAGCAATAAAAAGTTGGCTACCAATTATGGGAGTTGGAGAACAACACTTCTGGTTGATCAGGTTGGAAAGGCTAACCTTTCACCCTACCAGAAATATCATGGTGAGTTCACACATTACAAATTTAAGACACAGACATTCTGCACTAACACATAACTCAAACACACATGTATACAATCATATATTTACCACTGCATGCATTTATTAGGTACGTGTACCAGTGGGAATGGGGAACAATCTGATGTTTTCAACAGCACAGAATTTTTAAAGGTATGCCATTCCAGTCCATTACTCTAAAAAAATATTGGCACTTACTCTGAAATCTGATGAAACCTGCTTTTCCTGAGATTTCAGCTGATAAAAGTTTTAAAATTGTGCTACCTTACTACTTAATAGCAAGTGCTCCTAAATTATGATACATCAGTGTGCAAGCTGCCTTGGTAAATTTTAGAGCAGGGAAACAGACAAGCTGTAACCAGTATATTGAGCAGTTAATGAAGTATCAGTGGCTCTTCCCACAAATTCAGCTTCATCAGGTATTTCCTGCCTACCATGGACCTGTCCAAGGAACAGCTATTCCCGTGAGTGAAAGTTTTCAGGTTCCCTAATAATGCAGGTGTGTGATAGCAGCACTCCCTAACCCTTGCACTTAAACACCCACACCTCCCTTTCCACGCGGTCCATCGTACGACAGGCCCAGCCCTCCCTGGCCGAGTCTCTGCCCCTGCACATCACACCTGAGTCTCGCCAGTGAAGAAAATCTTGTCGCCCACCCTGAGGCAGATTATCTCCTCGGAGAGGCGGGGTGCCTCCTGTTTGCAAAGCGGAAGGTGGGGGGGCTGTTGATCCAACGTGAGGCGAGGACAACCGAGGCTGGAGGAAGAGCTGCAGCCGGAGGAGGAGGAAGAGCAGAACGTAAACGAACACCTGGTTCGGTACAGCCGGTGCACTGTGCGCCGGATGAGCTCAGCCGAACAAGCCCCCCAGCGCGCCCACAGGTACAAGTAGCAGAGCGTGATCAGCATGACGCGAGGGGGAGGCGTCGGGGACCGCCAACGGCCGTTCACGGCCAGATTTCCATTCCTGCATCAGCTCGGCAGAGCGAAGAGCGGCGGGGGAGCCGCGGCCTCCGCTTTCTGATTGGTTGCCTCGCTTCTCCTCACGCGAAGACAAAGAGGGTGCTGATTGGCCAGGAATCGCAATCCCTCCCACTCTGCCTTGGGTCTTGATTGTCCGCCGAAGCTGGGGCGAGCCGGCCGGGAAATTCCCGCGCTCTGTTTGCCGCGTGGTTCTGCCTGAGATGGGAAAGCTTCCCAGTTCGAAAGAGGAGGAGGGAAATATTTAAGGAGGGCGATTTCCCTGCAGAACACTTTCCCAGTTCCAGTTCCCGTATCTGCCTTAAAAGTTACTGCTACGCATTAAGGTTTTCATCTTTGCCTGCAGCGAGCAAGTCATGCTCTGCGGCTTATGTAACTGACTAGCTAGTTTTAGGAGGTGCACCTCGAGGGCATTGAATTAATCCGGCCAAGCATTCTTCCAGGAGGAACAACTTTAAATACTATCGTTGTGAGAAGGTACCAAAGCAATTTAAATTACAACCCCGTAAGCAGACACAAAAGGTTTTTATATTTATTTAATTTATATAGCTTAATAAAGTTGGGAGAAGTCCCAAGGAAAAAATGGGGGTTGATGGTTTCACACAACATAAAAACATAATCCTATACAAATGCCAAACCGTATGAATGGACATGGCTATGGCGCAGCCAGTGTCTAGTCTTTCCTAATGCCTGTTGTCGCCACATGCCGTTCCACACATATAATTTGCTATTTTGGTACTGTCACCTTTAAAACTCAGGCTCCTGAATTTGGCGTGGAGTTGATAAAAACTTAATCCCTGAATTTGGGAGGGAGACTTACTTTGCAAAGTGGCTTTTCCATCCCTCCAAACAAATCATGAGTAATTTAGGCAAAGCGGAAAGCGTTTGTTAAGGGACGTCAATTTTTTTATAGGGTGGAGAAACAAATAATATATTTGGTATATGTGATGCATCAGAAAGCAACAGATCAAACAATAAAAAACATTAGTTAGACGTGAGAATTAAACAGTAGAAAACATCGATCCTAGATAACATTCCACAAGCGGCAAATTTATGGGTTACATCACCCCCTTTCCCAGTCGAATTTGTATCTTTCTTAATGCTTGCAAGTGTACTTGAAGGACTTCCAGAATACATTCCCTATTCTTTAGTTGCTGAAAAGAGTAGCTCTCGCATATCAAAAGAAGAAATGGCTTTGGCTAAAAAGAAAACAGGGTTTCCTGAACTTCAAAAGGAGGCATGGTTGCCATGCTAAAATGCTAATATAAAATTCCAGGTAACAATACCAAGAGCTCTTTCCCTGTTTCTTTCACAGCAGATTTCTCATTTATTCGAGGAAGAATAGCAGAAAACAACGGAGCCAAGTACTGCTGATTACTTAAAATAAATGTTACAAAGAGATCTCTCTGCTGCTTCCCCCTCCCCCACAAAAGCAGAATATTTAACAAGTTAGACTTGCAAAATATTCAGTGGATGCTATTTTCATCTAGAGGATATTTTCATGTTTCTTTCAGGATTAAGTCATAAAGAGATAACATTACCTTTGCATTTATGCTTATAAAGGGCTTACTGCAGCCAACTGAAGATGATGTTCAGAGTGTTGGTAGGAGAGACTCTGCTTTCGGTTTCACGTTTGCAACTATATATACTGTAGAACTAGACAACCCGTGACCCACTGAGTCATTGTTTGAGAAATATTTCCTTACTGAAACAGAATGACCAAGGGCAAAAAAGCAGTGCTGCCGACTTCCCCATTGACTTTGCTTGTGGAAAGCTGGTAGGGAGCATCAGAAACCAACCTTCCTTCCTTCCTCCCTTCCTTTCCACATATAATATAGGCTTGTGCCATATGCCCTCCCCTCAGGAGGGCTGCCATGAAGCTGCCTCCTCCTTGATTGAGCCATGGAACTGTGTGCCACTTTGCTGGGGGGAGATGGAGCAAAAGGAGCCACAGACTGCGAGGAAAACTGAACCCTGCTCCTCATTTTGGCGTGTCCCCAAGGCCCCCCTCCCTCAAGGGAAGAAAAGGGTTCACTTGTCAACCACTGGCACTCCCCAGCCAGCCCTATCTCACCAGCAGCATCCAAGTCGCTCCCTCATCCTTCTCTTAATGCCTACCGCCATTAAGAGATTTCCAATTTCTATGTTTCCAAAGCACCCAATTGCTGCTTACCTGTCGGACCTTGCCACAAGCCAATTGGTGCAGGGGACAGAGGGAGGTAGGAAAGAGATCGGGGATACGCCCATAATGATCACTTGACCTGGGCTGACCACAGTGATGCAGCAGCACAGCAGTGCTGAAGCAGCCACAAATTTCCCAAATTTCAATCTCACAGGAGTAATGGGTCCTGGATTTTCGATGCACTCTGTAAGTTAGCCCATTTGAGATACCTTGGTTCAATAATTGTTGCCCTATTTTGCCCAGTTGAAGGTTATAGTCACAAGAGTTTTAGTAGTATATAGATATTAAGAAAAATGAAAGTCCCCCACTGAGGCTGGTTTTTCAGTGCTGATGGAAGACTGCCAAAAGTTGATTCAGAGGCAGGCTTCTGACAGAATGTAAGTTAACAGAAAATGACATGCATTTGTCAGGAAATAACTTCGAAATAAATGGTATGTATAGTGGCCAACAGTAAGGTAAAGGTTTTTTTCATGAAGGAAATGCATTGGAAATAATCCATATCTTTTAATTTGAATTAGAAATTGGGACAAAAACCACCTGATTGAGAAGTCTGGGCAAAAGCATAGTATAATTACTGAATTTCTAAGATCTATTAACTTTCCAAGGAATATAATCAAAGTATATTTCATTCCTGTCAAATTTATAATAATCTTTCCAGAAGAAATCATTGTTATTATATTGGTGGGAAAGATAGCTTAAACTTTTCCTATGGCCATTTTCTCCATTAAAACAAGAAATCTGAATCTTATATTTATCCCATAGGAAGTCTTTTAATAGAAAGAAAAACTCATTTAGGTATACAGAGTTTAATTGGTATGTAAGATATTTTTGGTATTTCAGATTGCATATGTTTTGGCTGAGCACTAAGAGTTATTTTATATTTATATTTTCTATATCAAATTTGTCACTGCCCATCTTGTTAAAAAAACGACTCTGGGTGGTTTACAGAGAAGCTAAAATCCGTTAAAAATATAATGTAAAATGGTCCTGAATAAATAATAAATATAGTCCAAGAATTTATGTTAATTGGCAAGTAGCTCAGGGAGCATCATCAGGGCGCCAGCCACCCCCAGGATTGGGTAAGATTCTTGTTGTCCCACACAAGCTGGCATTAGATAAGTTAGATAAATGTTCCAGCCTTCCTCCAAGAAACTAATTTCAATCTTAGAAGCATTTAGTTTATGTTGAAATGGGATGACTGGACAGCACCAAGTAAGTTCATAGTTGACTCTGCTGGTAGTCCTTGTTTAGTGATTGCCTCGTACAGCGACCATTCATGGTTACAACGGTGATGAAAAAGTAACTTTGCAACCAATCCTTGCGTATATGACCTTTGCAGGTCTATAAAGCAAGGAAAAACTGAAGATCATAAACAGTCATGGTTTCACTTGGTGACCACTTTGCTTAACAACCAAGTTGCTGGTCCCAACTGTGGTAGCTAAAAGAGGACTACCTGTATTTGAATTGTGTCTTTCTAGTGTAACCTAACCTTATACCAAATTCTTCCCCCTACTCTGCTTGATCAGGCCCCATTTAGAATGCTGTGTCCAGATCTGGGCATCATGGTTCAAAATGGACAGTGACAAATTGGAAAAAGCTTAGAGGATGACTACAAAGATAGTGAAGAGTCTGGAAACTAAGCCCTATGAGGAATAGTTAAAAGATCTTGGAAAACAATATTAGCCTACAGAGAATACAAGAGGAAAAATGATAGTTTTCAAATATCTTAAAGAGTTATCACACAGAAGAGGGAGTAGACTTATTCTCTAATGCCCTAGTAGCAATGAGTTAAAAGTACAAAAAAGGAGGTTCAGGCAAAACATCAGAATGGGACTTGTGATTGAATTATCAGTCAGTGGAACAGGCTGCCACATGAAGAGGTGAGTTCTCCTTCATTAGAGTCTTCAAACAGAGACTGAATGGTCATCTGTCAAATGCTTTGGTGGATCCTGCATTGAGCAGGGGATTGGACTAGATGACCTGAAAGGGCCTTCCAACTCTGATTCTCTGATTGTAAACTACATGTTTAGGATAAAAAAACTAGATTAAATGTTAAGTTCTAGGTACTTTTTTCAATCATTCTAGATTTTGCTCACTAATAGCTAATGTCCTGTTTTTGCAGTAGATTTGGGGTAAGGCATCATAACTCCAGTTTTTTCTCTTCTCTGTGTTATGTTCACTTAAGTGTTAAGCCTGCAGTTCTGTAACCATTTACCTAGGAATAAAATTCATTGAATTCATTTGAGTAGACCCACACAGAATTGTAAAAAGAATTATGCCATCTATTATTTATATACCAATTTACCAGGCAAAACTGAAATATGAATCAGTGGTCCACAAGCTTTTTTGCTGGAAGTATATATACCAATTTACTGCAATATGCTACAATTTCTTGTGACATCTCCAAAATCTATTTTAACCATGACTGAAGAATAAAACTAGAAAACAAATGTATTGACACAAGTTAGGAAAATTACTTTAATTGTTAACCAGCATGTATATAAATACTATGATTTGTTATGAAGCAATTACATTCAAGACTGAGGTCTGCATTTCAACTGGAATTATTTACATTGTTACTTTCATATTGGAACACACTGTGTATATATCACCTTAAAAGTCTGAACTTTGTTTGCTTTAGCTGCTATATTTTCTACACATATGGAAGAAAATCACATCTAAGTGACTAAGGGTAATTATTCTGGGTCTCATCCAGCATAACTCTTCTATTACACACTTATCTAAGCTGCTTTATAATAAACATGATCTTAATTTTAGATAGTGCACCATGTTAAAAGAAACATAGATGCCAAATTTGGTAGCTTTATGTATAAGCTCTTGGAATGTATCCTTAAATAATATACTCTTTAGCTGGTATAGGAAACAGGATACTATTGAGAAGTGACTAAATTCACTAAGTCAAGTAAACCAAAAGAAAAGAAGTCCAGTTGCCATGACTCAACCTCCAGATACATATCAGGATATTTCAAGAGAAGAAATGAAAAACTGTATTTGCAGCATACAAGAATGAAACAGCACGGACTAAGGGTGAATGAATCAAAGTTGTGGAAACAGGATGCCCCAAGAGAGTCTACCTAATCCTTAAAATGCAGTTTAACTATTGCAGCCTTATTTTAGGCTGATTTATGTAAACTCTGAAGTCAAGTGCTTTGGCACCTTATTGTCAATATTTCTATATCACATTGCAGATGAGCAGATTTTAAATAGTTTCTGTCATGAACCTCTACATTAATCTTCTTTGCTACTTAGAAAAAACATTTTGTTTACTTCGTGAATAGGAATATCCCTTAATGCAGGAATTGCTTCTTCTTGTGGCATTTTCTGTTTTTGATTTTTTGCATAGTGATCTGTAAAAGATTTTTAAAAATCATAAATAATACATTTTTTGTTTGATTAGGGCAAATGTATAGAGAATGCAATTTTACTTGCAGAATCATGTTAATGCGCTTCTTCCAATAAACCATAACTACTCCAGGTTCTCCCAAGTCAAAAAGCTAAATATCATATGTTTCACTATTCAAAATCAGTGAAGTATAGCCTGCTTTACAATTCAAATCCCAGGAAATAAAAGCTGGAATGTACAGGAGAAAATCTTTTCATCACTATGTAATTTCAAGTGATGATTAGGCACTGCATAATTTAATACTCCTTTATCACCAGGTCAAAGCTAACATGTTCTATGCTAAGAAATATTATAAGGCTAAGCTAGTTTTTATAAGAATTCTGGAAGCAGCGTTCAACATCAGCCCCAAATGAGCTTATTTGACTTTTGATCTTCTCAGAGTTTCATGTTCTAAATCTCCTTTATTGAACTTGTTACAAATTGTAAAACCTTTTTTTGGGGGGGGGGGGTTTGCTGTTGACCAGCATCTTTCTAAATAATTGCCTGCCTTTTGTTGGCTCAAGAAAGAAATGTGCTGAATCTGAGGTGAGACATGCAGCTACCAGAAAGAAAGCTTTCTCTAGACTGCTGTCTGTTAATTAAATTCTCTTCCTAGTGAGGCCCTGCTGCCAGCTTCACTAACTTTTAATAACACATTTTATGCTTTTACGTTTCCCTCCTTTGTCTATACAGGTAGTCTTCATTTAGAGACCGTCTTGGACAGCGACTGTTCAGAGTTACGATGGTGATAAAAAAAGTAACTTTGGGACCAATACCTGTCTGCATTTACATCCTTCACAGCATCTCTCTCTCAGTCACCATTATAGTCAGTATGTGCTGTCCTGCGCCTTTTTCTTTTTCTCCCTCTCAGAGAGCAGAGAGATTGCCTAAACAAGCTATCTCTTCCTAAGCTGCTTTTCTCTGCAGTGTGTTCCTGAAAAGGGTTAAACTGCAAGTTAACAAGCTCAGCTCTGTGACCTCAATTAGTTGATTAGAACCCTCTAGCTGGCTGGCACTGCTGCCTGACACTGACAAGACTCTAATCTATTTCACACTAAAGGCTTTTGTTTGCCTACTAGGTGGCTTGTAAGCATCAGCATGCTGGGCAAATAGCAAGCGCTAGCGCATTCCTTTCAATGTGTATTCCCCATCGTGTGCCTGCTTACTCTCTTATAAACCCTTCTCTCCAATGAATGGAAATACAAACATCAATTCTCTTGCTAATTATCCCATTGCCGGGGTTAGCATTCCAAAGGAGTGGAGGAAAAGGGCTATAAGATTTGCCCTTTTACCCGGTTTCCTCATGAGTCGAGTTCCAGAAACCTTCCCTGCTGTTTCGATTCATCCGGCTGTTTCTTCTGATCTTCTAAAGCAAAGGAAAGCTGAAGTAAAATTGTAAGCATAGTCTCATTCATGTGACTTTCACTTAGCAACCGCTTCACTTAACAACCATGCTGCCAGTCACAATTGCAGCTACCTTAAGGTATCCACTCATTAAAGTCAGTGCTTCTTGTCAGGGAGCAGCATCTTTTTTCAGGCTGTTGCAGAAGCCTGAAAACATTCAGGCATTTGAATGAGAAGAAATTAGGTACTGCACTTGTATAATCTTTCTGAAGGTTGCACAGTTGTACTGTTTTCTATATATTTAACCTTATATTAAATGAAACAGGTATAAATATTTGCAGGTCAAAACCATAATGGTTCCATTGTTCAACTCATAACAGCAATCTCAAAACAATATGTAATGCTCTCTTTTTGTCAGATTCTAATTGCCTCAACTTTATTTTCCACATCGTTCCACACTTCACTGGTAGCACAGGAGGAGAAGATAATAAGTTGCCCAAGAAACAGCAGAATCTTAATCCATTATTGGCATTCTCTAGTCTTGACTTGTGCATGTAAACTAGAATGTTCGATGATCTGACCAGGAAGAGTGGATCAGCAGAAATAACCTTCCCATTTCCTTCCCATTTCCAAAATAGAATAAATATATGAAGGAATTTGACTGAAAGCAAATTGGACCAAAGAGGCTTAGGGGAAAAAACTCACAAAGATTCTATAGGAAGTGTACTGCTCAGGATTTAATTTATTTCCAAATTGTCTAGGGCTTATATACAACAAAAATTCCTAATTCTCTTGATCTGCCAAGGAAAGATCTTTTTTTCTTATTCATATGACAAAAGACCATGCTCTGCTTTAAAACCTTATATAAATCTCCCAAGCTCCTATGTAAATGGAAGAAGCTGAGCATTATTCTGTAAATTATCAATATTTTATGTCTCTTTCAATTGTACTTGCTTTGTGTTTTCTGTTTCGTTGTTTCTACCACTTTGGAAACCTTCTGAAAAGTGGATTATAAATTAGGATATAAAATGTAATGATGCAAACAATACAACATCAAGCAGAAAACCCACATATTTTAGGGATTAATATGCTTGTCTCACAATAAAGTGTTAAAGAGTAGATTAAAAATAGTTTTTAGTATATTTTTCTGTAGTTCTGATGTACGTGCTTACCTGTTACCGTATGTGTAGAATTAAGTGGAGCTGTGCTGATCATGTTAATACCAAAGAGGAGTATGTAGCCTATTCCCACAGCAACTAAAAGATATACAGGCAACGCAACAGCCCAGAATCTAGGAAGCAGAAACAGTACTTGAAATGGGGCCTCTTACATGTGGGAAAATCGAATAACAAACAACTATCTATCAGTATATCGTAGCACACCAGAAAAAGAGAAGAGAATCTACAATATGATAAGGGAATGGACCGGTTTCTTTGGAAAGAAAGTCTAAAATACTAGGGACCTTTTAATACAAAAGTCTGAGAATGTAGAAAGACAAGTTAGAAATATATAAACTGTATAGTGTGAATGGACAGAGATTCTCTCTCTATTTTAATATACTGGAGCTCCGAAGTACTTGTTAAATGGATAATTCATTGATTCAGAATGGACAAAAGAAAATCTCACAGAACAGACAATTATGAAATTTACTGCTGTAGGACATAGAAACAGCAACTCTTCTCGCTAGCTTACAAAAGGATTAGTGCCTAGAGTTAAAGTTCACGGATGGTAAGTGTTGTGAGAAAAAATGCCCACTTCAATAAGGAACCAAAGTATCTTTTATTGGCATGCACAACTGCAGTGATAACTGAGTATCCTGCCAAAGGAATGCAGAAGAGCCCTGAACAAAGCGAGGTTACAGGTTATATACCTTTGGTTCGTTACATAGAAATAATAAAATATTGTAAATCATACTATGACCTCTACAATTGTAATGTCTCATGTAATACTTAAGGGATGATCTTACTGTGATGCCCCTGCAATCAGGGACTCCAGTCCTGCACCATGTTCCATAAACAATGGCATTTATTGTGACCATATACTGCCTTCTTTTACACCATGGAAAAGACAACAGTCTAGTTTTTGTTATCTGTCTCCTTTTCAGGGTCACAGTTCCAGGTGCCTGGTTTTTACTCTCATGATTTTACTCATACTTAAGCCACGTTCAACATCATATATGTTCTTAAATCTCAACATAAGCCATGAATCAGGAGCCACACACATAATAAGGGGGGGGGGGGAGAATGGGAACGGGGCCAGTGCCTTTACATTCAACTGAAAAGATGATGCAAAATTTTATAATTATTCTTCTGTATCAGCAAAGATGATTCTTATACAAGGTTATATCGTTAAAATATACTTAGTATTTGCAAAATCATTCAGTTGTTTCAATAGGAAAAACCTTTAATGGAAGTGTTAGTAAGAACTTACTTTTGAGGCCAGTATGTTAAGCCCAACGAGAACAGCCAGGATTCAGGTATGTAGGCCCACACAATATACAGAACTACATATATCCGTATATACACATACAGACACAGAGACAAAAAGAAAAAGAAAAAAAAATTAAGTACATTGGTGAATCCCATTATTTCCACAAAGAAGCCAAGCTTATAATGGAAGAATCATTTTTAATAATAACATTCTACATCCATAATTGGTCTGAGGGAGATAAGTTAGCAATTTCTCAGTAGCATTTTTAACAGCCACAATAACAGAACTGATTTAGTTTTATCTCTGATATAGATAGTCAGCATTTCTGGCTCATTAGTGGATATTCTGTATGGATATGCATTAGAAAATAACTGAATGTTCATAGCTACAATTGCATGAAGATAAATAATATGTAAGTATCCATTCAACTAAGCAGAAAAAATTCAGTCTAACTTTGTACCAGATAAAAGCTGAGTCAGCTTCTGAGTCAGGTTTTGTCCACTTAGATATTCACCAAAACATGCAATTTGACCAGGAATGCCTACATATTTGCCTAGACCTATATATGAGGGAAGTGTGTAATTTTATCACTTTCAGACTTTATAATGCTATTGCTACTCACTTTCTAGTATCGTGCTTTTGGTGGGGGGCAGTATACATGGAAAAGTTTAAAAATTGTAGGGGTTAGTTTAAAACTTTAAATTGTAGAGGTTAAATATTGGCATATTTATGTTAGCATTATTGTTAAATTATTTAGTCCTCTCATTTCTCTGAATATAACATTTTCAAGCAGTGGATGCTATTGTTAAATCTTACACAGTATCACTGGCTCTAAAGAATAAAAATAATACTTTAACATTTACTGAACAAAATTTGTAATCTGCCCCAAATCTGAGAGAGACTGGGAGGCAAAACAATGCAGAAGAAAAAAAGTATCAGTCTGGTCCTTTTACCAATATGCTGGATATCTCCTATTCATTTAAACTTTTTATTTGGTATGAGATTTAATAACTCTATAATTAAATAACACTGGAAGCCTAATATATTTCCATTTCTAAGTGTAATAAAGGTCTTACAGGTACTCCTTGGTTAACGACAATAATTGGGATTAGAATTTCTATCACTAAGTGATGTGGTTGTAAAGTGTGACGTTATGTGTCTGCATTGCTTAGCAACGACAATCCTGGCAGTCCCCATTGCTGTTAACAGAATCCCACCGGTTGATTGGCAAGGACCTACCCCAATCCAAGCCAGTCCTGGCTTGGTCCTTCCCAGCCCCAAGCCTCGGCAAGGTAAGGGACTGCCTCCTCTATCTCCTCTTGAATTCCCTCCACTTGCCTATCCACCCCCATCTCTGTCCTTTTGGGCGCCTAACTGCTGCTACCAGCTGCCTTGGCTGCCCAGCCCTACCCAGCGCCACACCCATCGTGCCATGTGGCTGTATTGTACCCGCTGGGGCCTTCTTTTGTGCTGCCTTCTTTTGCACTGGTGCAGCTCAGGGCCTTTCACAAAAGAAGCATGGTGTGTGAAAGAAGGCCCCAGCTGTGCCAGCATGAAAGAAGGACCCTGCTAGTATGGAAGCCTGGCTGGTATACGAACAGAGGCCCTGACTGGTGCATAAACAGAGACCCTGGGTGGGGCATGAGAGAAGCCCTGGCTGCACCAATGCAAAAGAAGGCCCCAGCGGGTACAGCAGTGTCACATGGTATGGTGGGCACGGCAGCAGGGCAGTGGGTAGGTGGGCAGCCAAAAGGTGGTTGCAAATGTGGATGGGCCTGAATTTTGTTCACATGACTGTGAGGGTGCTGTGACGGCTGGAACTTTGAAGACTGGT